GAGCCTTGGGTCTCAGAAGCCCAGATCTGCTGACCCTCCCTTGAGCAACCACAGATTCCCACTCTGCCCTGGGGTGGGGGCACCCTCATCCTTCTTGACGCTCAGGCACGGGTGGGATTTGTCTGCACGAGGCAGGCTTAGACTCGGGTGTGGCTATGAGCCTTTTGTTAGGAGGCCAGCTCAGGGCCCAGCAGCGTCCCTCTTCAGTTTTATTTTTGGAGAACCTCGGCTGGAGTCATGCCTGGAGACTTGCCTCCCCGAAAGGCCTGCGCACCAAGGCAGGGCCGACCCTCAGGACAGGGCTGACCACCTCCCGCAGCCTCCCGGGGCCCCCAGGCAAGTGCGTTCAGGTGGGGTTGCCCGGCACACCGTGCCTCTTCAGGGAGGCCGCTGGGAGGGGCGTTCCTGGCTGACTCAGCACGTGGCCAGCTCTGCTGGTGTTGGCTGAGTCCTCAGCTGGGGCATGGCTGCTCCTGAGTCACTGTGGGCTGGTGACACCCACCGAGACAAGGACTTGGGGAGGCGGCCGCATGGGTGATGCAATCTGTGTCTGAGTCTCGGCTTCTCAGTGCGGGCATACACATGCACGTGCGCCTGCACGCACACACACATTTGCAGACACGTACACACCGACCCATGCACATATGCACACACCCACAGTGACATATACACATGCCCACACACGTGCGCACACACACGGACACACCAGTAGCAACATACATGGCCACACACATATGCACATATACAGTGACACGCCCACACTCGTGCAGACACACGTACACACCACAGTGACGTACATATGCCCACACACATGCGCACACCATGCACACACCCATAGCAACATACATACCCACACGTGCACACACATATGCACAGTGACATGCCTACACACGTGCACATACATGTGCACACTGACAGGCATGCCCTCACACATACACCTATGCACACACTCATGCAGACACATACACATAGATACACATATGTACATATGCACGTGCATTCATATAGACACAGATGGACATGTCCCATATGCTCATGTACATAGATGCACAGACTCATATGCATGCTGATATGCACACCTATGTGTACACATGTACATGTGCACACACGCAGATATGTATGTACACACATACACATGCACACTTGTGGATGCTAGCATGCACATATGCACACATGCACATGCAAGGTGCACACACATGTGCACACACATGCAGACATATGTACATGCCCATGCATGCATATATGTATACACCCAGTGACATACATGCTCACACATGTGTGCACACATGCAGACACATGTACCCACCCACGCCTGCACATATGTACTAACCGCAGTGACTTACACATGCCCACACATATGCCCACATCCATAGCAATATATGTGCCCACACACGTGCATGCACACATGCACACAGTAACATGCCCATGCACACATACACACATGCATGTACACATACACACATTTACACACCCATGCACGCACATATGCACACACCCAGTGACATGTACATGTGCCCACACACATGCACGCACACACACGTGCACACACACACATGTATGTGTGTACACATGTGCACGCTTGTGCGTGCTAGCATAAGTGTATACACACACATGAACCCACACGGTACACATACAAACACGTGTGCACGCACATGCAAGTACATATGTGCACAGTGCCATGCACATCACATGTACATACACAGCCACACATACATGTACAGTCATGTGCACATTGACATACACGAAAATACAAAAACATAGGAACACATGCTCACACACACACACACACAGTGCAGCCCTCTGTGGCCTTTCTGAAAAGCAGGCCGGAGTTATTCCTCAGTCCAAAGGGAGCCTCTCTCAGGGAATTTTGTTCAAAACAGAAAAGCCGGCAAGACTCAGGCCCTGATGCTCACGTGGAAATGTCGGGGGTGGGGGGGGCGGCCCAGGGCAGTGGGTGCCCAGGGTGTGTGTGGACGCTCCTGATTGTGGATGTGAAATAGGACCCCCTGGCCTTCCAAGGAAAACAGGGGGTGGGGCCGACCCGTTTGTTCTCTGTGTGCTCATATTTTTAGCACTGAGTAATTTAGGTATTTTTAAGCTGAACCAAGGGCGGTTTTCCCTGAGCTGGACGTTTTGTGGCTGCTTTGAAGCTTTCTGGAATGGGAGCCCTCTGGGCAGCCACACGTGGGCTCTGCCTCTAGAGCAGACAGATTGGGCCTTCTCTGCCCCCAAAAAGTGGGGGCGGGACGTCTGCTGGAAACCAAGGCGGCTGGGCAGTGTCAAAGGGATTTTTTTTTTAATTGACCCTTTTATTGAGATTGCGGTGGGGTCCCATCCAGTGCTAACAAAACGTGTAGAGGAGTTCTGTGTCATTCCCCGGCCGTGCCTGGTGGTCACATTTGGTAAAGCTGTGGGCAGGATCACAGCCAGACAGTCACACGTTCCCGGCTTCAATCAGATTCCGCAGTGTTCAGTGTTCTGCTCACTGGTGTGTGAGTGTGTGAGGCTCTCTGTGAGCTTATCACCGTGGAGGCCTGTGGCTTCGTCACTGTCGCTGAGGCACTAACAGGGCTCAGTTGCCCTTTTATTTACTTATTTATTCAGAGATGGGGTCTCACTGAGTTGCCCAGTCTGGCCTCAACTTCCCACCTCAGCCTCCCAAGTAGCTGGGACCACAGGAGTATGCCACCCACGCCCAGCTAATTTGCAAATTTTTTATAGAGAGAGGGTCGTGCTGTGTTGCCCGGGCTGGTTTCAAACTCCTGGACTCATGTCCAGCCTCCCAGCACCTTGAGAGGCCGAGGCAGGCAGATCACTTGAGACCAGGAGTTCGAGACCAGCTCAGCCAACATGGTGAAACCCCGTCTCTACCAAAATACAGAGATTCGCCGGGCGTGGTGGCACATGCACCTGTAATCCCAGCTACTCGAGAGGACAAAGTGGGAGAGCCGCAGAAGCACAGCTGCAGGGAGCTGAGATCCAGTCACTGCATTCCAGCCTGGGTGACAGAGCGAGACCCTGTCTCAAAAAAAAAAAAAAAAATGTTGGCTGGGCCTGGTGGCTTATGCCTGTAATCCCAGCACTTTGGGAGACCAAGGTGGGCTGATCACCAGGTCAGGAGTTCAAGACCAGCCTGGCCAACACAGTGAAACCCCATCTCTACCAAAAATGCAAAAAATTAGCCGCGGGCGGTGGCTCATGGCTGTAGTCCCAGCTACTCTGGAAGCTGAGGTAGCAGAATTGCTTGAACCCTCGAGGCGGAGGCTGCAGTGATCTGAGATCGCACCATTGCACTCCAGCCTGAGCAATAAATAAAAAATTGTTTTTTCAAAAAAAGTCCTCTTAAACATGTTACAGAAACAGAACTGCGCCACACATCCCAGGCCCTGGAGGGTCATTCTCCTGCGGTGTGGAATGCATGGACAGTCCCTTCTTTCTTACCACTGAGGAGACATTTTTTGAAAACTCTGGAATCTGCCGTGGCTTTTCTGCGGCTGCCTGGCTCTGCAGAACAGACGGTGACGCCGTGACACGGGGCGCGGCTTCATTAACAACTCATAGCTGCCCGGCTGGGACTGCGGCTGCCCAGGACTCATGAACCTGGCCCCTGCCCCTGCCACCCCCATCAGCACTGACCCCCTCGCTGGGTCCTACTAAACAGGTTTCTTTAACCTGGTCACAGCCAACACGTGGGGCAGGGTTGTTCCCTGGGGTGGGGCCGTCCCAGGCACTGCATCGTGCTGGACGGCATCCCTGGCCTCCAGCCCCCCCATGCCAGGGGCACCCCCCAGTCACGACAGCCACAAATGTCCCAGACACCACCCAGTGCTCCATGGGGAGCAGAGTCACCCCCACATGAGGTCTTAGGGGATTCCACAGACCCCCCCCAAGAGACTCTGCATCTCATCATCACCTGCCCTGTTGAGGTCCTAGGTTGTTCCAGGAGAATTCAAGAAGCACAGCACAGGCTCCTGACGGGCTGAGTATGAAGGACATAGAGGAGGGGCCAGCGTGGGGGCACAGGCCTGTAATCCCAGCATTTTGGGAGGCCAAGATGGGTGGATCACCTGAGGTCGGGAGTTCGAGACCAGCCTGACCAACATAGTGAAATCCTGTCTCTACCAAAAATACAAAAAATGAGCCAGGCGTGGTGGCACATGCCTGTAATCCCAGCTACCTGGAAGGCTGAGGCAGGAGAATCGCTTGAACCCGGGAGGCGGAGGTTGCCGTGAGTCAAGATTACACCACCGCACTCGGACCTGGCGACAGAGCGAGACTCCATCTCAAAAAAAAAAAAAAAAAGAAAGAGAAAAGAATATATTCTGGTAGAAATAGCTGTCATGTCAACAGTGGTTATATTAAGTAGAGAAATTATGGGAGATGTTTTTTTCCTTTTCTGTATCTTACTAATTTTCTCAACAGTGGTTGCTTATGAGTTTTATACTAAAATAGGTTTTATGGCTCACGCCTGTAATCCCAGCACTTTGGGAGGCCGAGGCGGGTGGATCACCTGAGGTCAGAAGTTTGAGACCAGCCTGACCAATATGGTGAAATCCCATCTCTTTAAAAAATAAATAAATAAATAAATAAATAGGTTTTTAAATTTTTGCAACATGGAAAGTAATACTTTTTTTTTTTTCTGAGATGGAGTCTTGCTCTGTCACTCAGGCTGGAGCACAGTGGCGCCATCTCTGCTCACTGCAACCTCCCCCTCCTATGTTCAAGAGATTCTTCCGCCTCAGCCTCCCAAGTAGCTGGGACTACAGGCATGTGCCAAACACTTGGCTAATTTTTGTATTTTTAGTAGAGACGGGGTTTCACCATGTTGGCCAGGCTGGTCTCGATCTCTGGACCTCGTGATCCACCCGCCTCAGCCTCCCAAAGCGTTGGGATGACAGGCGTGAGCCACCGCGCCTGGCCAGTTATACTCCTTTATGTACTAAAAACATAAAAGAGGCCGGAGCGGGGCTTTGACCCACACCCCTCTGCTTCCCCCACAGCTCTCTGGACGCCGGGGGCCTGGAGCTGATGGCAGACAATGTCAGCCACTAACAACATAGCCCAGGCCCGGAAGCTGGTGGAACAGCTGCGTATCGAAGCCGGGATCGAGCGCATCAAGGTGAGCTAGGCGCGCGCCAGGAGGAGGCAAGGAGCAGCCTGTGGGTGCCCAGCAAATGGTGGGCAGGAGGCTGGGTGGGAGGGCACAGGTTTGCACCACGGCTGTGCCTCTTGCTGTGTGACCTTGGGGCCATCCCTCAGCCTCTCTGAGCCTCCCTTTCCTCTGCAGAAAGAGGCGGCCAATCTCGTAGGTTCGTGCAGCAATGTAATGTGCTTTGTAAACACACCGCGCCCCGTGGAGAGGAGGCTTTGTCTCCCTGGTCAGCATGGCTCTGTCCAGATCCTCGGCAATGATGGACGAGGATGAAACAGAGACCCAGTCCGAGGCGGGAGGAGACACAGTGCCCTCTCCTTGTTTCACTTATGGGTTATTTGGAGTTTTTGACAAAGATCACACTTGAGGCCAGGCGCGGTGGCTCACACCTGTAATCCCAAGACTTTGGGAGGCCAAGGAGGGCGGATCACCTGAGGTCAGGAGTTCAAGACCAGCCTGGCCAATACAGTGAAACCCCATCTCTACTAAAAATACAAAAATTAGCCGGATGTGGTGGTGGGCGCCTATAATCCCAGCTACGCGGGAGGCTGAGGCAGGAAATCGCTTCAACCCGGGAGGCGGAGGCTGCAGTGAGCCAAGATCCCACCACTGCACTCCAGCCTGGCGACAGAGCAAGACTCTGTCTCAAAAAAAAATAAATAAAGCTTGATTTTTGTCCTAAAGAAAGTTAAGGCCAGGCGCGGTGGCTCACGCCTGTAATCCCAGCACTGTGGGAGGCCGAGGCTGGTGGATCACGAGGTCAAGAGATCGAGACCATCCTGGTCAACACGGTGAAACCCCGTCTCTACTAAAACTACAAAAAATCAGCTGGGCATGGTGGCGCGTGCCTGTAATCCCAGCTACTCAGGAGGCTGAGGCAGGAGAAT